GGTTTGTAACTTAACTGCACAACTAGTCTACAAAGGTAGCTTCAATCTGTCACTCACTCAGCTAAAACTGGCAAAAGTCAAATGGCAGAACTTTCCTTGCAGCATACATCAGATAACTGCCGCTCAAGGTCAGAAATACAAACAAATAATTACTCTAATTTCTTTTGGAAAGAAATAACAGCAAGTTGTGGATGGCATAAGTGGAGAAGACCAAAGAGCTACCATTTAAAAATGCTAAGTGTTCTAGTATTTATGGAATAAGAGGCTCAAAAAATGTACAAGTTGCCTAAAGAGGTGAGCTTACAGGTAGAAATTAAAGAGAGTCACAGGGACAGGAAAGATGGCATAGCGGTTAAGAGCTTTTTCAGAGAACCCAGGTTCCCAACAGCACTTCCTAATAGTCTATAACTTCAGTTCCAGATGATCCAATACCCTTTCTGAGTCCAGAACAGCCTACACAGAGAAACCCTGTTGAGAGAGAAAGGAAAAGAGAGACACAGAGACTGACAGCGAGAAAGTACAAGCTGCCCAGCAAGGTGGCACATGCTTTTAATCTGAGCACCCTGAGTTCAAGGCCAGCCTGGTCTACATAGCAAATTCCAGGACAGCCTGGGTTACACAGAGAAACCCTATTTTGAAAAAGCAAAATAAAGAACAAAAGGTACAAACCTACCAACTAACAAATCAAAGAACAAAAGAAAACTTAAATAAAATGTTCAATTTAATAAAATGTTCAATTTAATATATGTGTGAAGACTAAAAATAGATAAGCAGCAAAAACCTGGAATAAAATCAAACTGCTGGGAAATTCAGGCAGAGAACTAGCTTTGAGCCATGATTTATATCCTATTTCACTTGTCCATCAGTGACTAATTAAACTACATTTTGAAGATTTTATATATTCATATGTAGGCTAACATCAGATACAAGCAATTTGCTTAACTTACTTTGTTTAATTAGGCCCTTATATGAGGACCAAAGTTAACTTGTTAGAAATTTTATTTATATTATTTGATGTATTACTAATAAAGATTATAGTGAACTCCAAGGATTAAGTGCAAGGTAATTTAATATTTTTTAAGTTTAACACTATATAGGGAAAAAAAAAAGACCCGTTTCCTTTTTTATCATGTGTCATGTCAGTTGAGTTATTTAAAGCTGTAAATACATTATTCTTCCTATAGGCAAGAGTAACTATAGAAACTGAGCACTGGTTCTAATGTTTTGTAACAAGAACAACCTGAAAATTTCATTTTTACTTGTAATCACACCTCTATAATATATGACTGCTGGACATTTTTACAACAGATCATGGAAAGCGTTAACAGGAAGTAGGAAAAGTATATTACAGTCCTTAAGTCTTTAGCATGATTTATATAACACTTCAAACATAACTTCATCAACTCTTTCTACACTTCCTTACTTCTAAGGATTAGAGCTTAATATGAACCCAAATGGTTATAACCGGATATTTTAAAAACACTAGTTCAAAAAAATTCTCTTTTGCTACTTGACAAGTCCCCTTAGAGAAGCACCCAAGTGCAGTGGCCTCAACAACTTAGTGCCATGTGACTGTTCAGATGCTGTCAACCTTGGCTATCACTGTCAGCAACACTTCATTACCCAACTGTTTGCACGCTAATCTTAAATTGGCTCAATTGCTCAAACTCCAAGGACACATTTATGTGTGAAAAACTGAGAGAAACATCTACTTAAAAGAAAAGAAACATTCAAGGACTGCTGAACAATAGGGTTGAAACTAAAAGGCAAGTACTTAACTTATTGGTAGAGCACTTGCTAGCATCTGTGAGGTGAAAGTTCAATCCCCAGCACTGACAGAAAAAAACAAAACAAACCCCAAAACAAACCAAAAATAAACCAACAAACCTAAAGAACACAAGCAACAGTCTGATCTGGTCACATAAATTCAAATCACCTTCTCAATCTTAACTTTGTATCAGAGTCACTTGCCTTCTCTAAGAGGGCTTGGATGGTAACTGTAACTAGATCTTGAAACATATTAACAAAGTAAAGTAGGAAGCTATTATAACAGTCTACCACTACAACACAAAGTAAATTTGTATTATGGGTAATCTATTTGAAATATATTCCAAATACAGATTATTTTAAACAAAAGGAAAAAAATCTTGTATAAGACAAAATTATCTTTGGCACCCAATGATCAATTTCCCATATACCTTCTGCTACAAAAAAAAAGGGGGGGGAGGGGCTAGAGACCAGCAAGATGGCCTAGTGCATAAAGGCACTGGGCCTTCAAATCTGACCACCTGAGTTCAATTCTTGAAACCAACATGATAGAACGAGAGAACTAATTTCTACAAATTGTGCCACTGTCTTCTAAACTCCCAAAATGTGCTATGGCACTTCTGAGCTGCACCCCTCAAAAGTAAATGTAATAAAACAAACAAAATGGCTATAAGCTATTGTTTTAAGCCACTGTACGCTATTAATACTCCTACAATACTCAACAGCACAAGAGATTTTGAGGTTGCAACAATGCCCTGTACATATGAGCAACAAATTCGCTCTCCAAATATGAAAATAACAAAGCAAGATATTTAATGTAACAAAACGTGTGTGGTGGAGTGACATCTGTGCAGCACTGTGTATTCAAATGTAGATTTTTGTGCAGAGATCTGATTACAGGTTGGATTTGGAAACTGTCATTATTATGAAGGATCTCCTGCCTCAGTATTTTAAACATTGTTCTCCACTACCTCCTGATTGGTTAAATAAAGACTTGAATGGCCAGTAGCTTGGCAGGAGAAGAAGGTGGGACTTCCAAGCCAAATGAAGAGAGTAGCAGGTGGGATCAGAAAAGAGGGCGTCTCCACTGGGATGAAGAAGCTGGTGCCAGGATGAAACTAAGAAGGCAGGTAATGGGTCAGGTGGCAGAATGTAGGCAAGGCCAGTATAGGCTGGTTAGAATAGCTAAGAAACTGCCCAGCCATAGCTTTTAATGAAAATAACGGTATCTGTGTCATTATTCAGAGCAAAGGTGGGCATAGAAACCTTATGGTTACATGTGTTCAACACAATCCTACCAGCTTTACGTGTTCTATTTACAATTCCATAGATTAAACATTATCCTCCCCGTTATACAGATGAGGAATTCTAACTGAGCCTCATAAAAAAATCAATTCACACAACCAGTAAAAGAATGGAGTCTCCTGTATTTGCATCAGTCTTTCTGTGCAAAGAATTTGAGACGTAAAAAATCACTGCATAAATTACGAATTAATTATCAAGTTTTGGGAAATATGCTACAGAACGCATGCTATAGGAACTTTATGGAGGAACTGAGGAAAGTTATGTTCCAAAGCTATGTACTACATTAAAAAAAATTAGTAACACATAACCAGCTTCCTTCTTGGTCCAAATGAATGGATCTATTTGACTTCTGTATCTACTTTATCTACTTGTATTACTTTGAGAACATGGCAGATTCCAAAGGTGCTTACAGACTTCTCTGACCCTGACTAGTCTATCAGTCAAAGCACAGATTGTTTTTTCAGAACCAATGTTTACTCTAGAAACTAGAAAATCTTAGAACTGAGGTGGTCTGCAGCCATGACTACTACAGATTACAGGATCCATTAAAGTCATATTCTCCTAGGCCAAAAAGCAGAGTGGAACTTGAAAAGATGGATGAACTATCAAAATCTGATGAAATTATAAGAAAATTACCTAACCTATAGCTAAAGATGCAAAATTTTAAGAGAATGATCTTTGTTCAGTTAAATATGTAGGCTACATGAACCATCCTGATTCAAGTACTATAAGAAAGGGACTTTCAGTTTGACTTTAAACACCTTCTTATGACTCAATGCTCTTGAAATCAAATCAATGACACTTGCTAGCCAGGCATGGTGGCACAGGCCTTTAATCCCAGCACTCAGGAAGGCAGAAGCAGGCAGATAGCTGTGAGCTTGAGGCCAGCCTTTTCTACATGGTGAGTTTCAGGACAGCCAGAGAGCTAGCTACATAGAAACCTTCTCTCGAAAAAAAATAAAAAATAATAATAAAGGGGAGGGGGTTCTTTAAATTCACCGGGGAAACTATAACCTTAGGAGTGGGATATGCATGTTTGTGCATATTCACTGATGCTAGAAATCCTTTTTTTTTTTTTTTTTCTTTAGAAATGCAATTTATCATTTAGCAAGCCTTTCTGTTTTGGAAGACACCTCCACCTCTAACTAGTTTAGGAGACTTGCTCTCTCAGGACAGTTACCCAATTCACACGAGTTACAACCGCCAGACCCAATTCAGTTTCTCTATAAAAGCATGTTCAAACAACAGTGACAATCTCTTACACAGAATAATCACAGAAAGAAAGAAAGAAAGAAAGGAAGGAAGGAAGGAAGGAAAGAAGGAAGGAAGGAAGGAAGGAAAACTTCTAATACACGGGGATGGAAAGAAAGAAGGGAGACTAACATAATGACATCCCTGTAGGACCTTAGCAACCAAGGCTCTGACAGTCATTCAACTTTCTTGCTCATTTCCCCGCTCTGTTTTTCCTAGCAGTGCAGGCACGACGCGCTGTTTCCCCTTTGGTGTCTGACAATTCCCCGGAGCGGGGCGAGCAGCCCTGGGCATCCGCGAATGGCCGTGGTCCAGGCCGGCCTGGCCGGGGCTGCTTTTCCCGTCGGTCCTCCCCGGACCTCCAGGGTTCGCGGAGCAGCAGCTGCAGCAGGGACGCCCGGGGAACCTGTCCCCAGCTCCCCCGCTAGGCCTCAAGGGGCGGGCGCTGCACATGGCCCCCGGCGAGGCGGCGGGCACTGCGCGCCGGGGGCGGCCGGCGGGCTCGCCGCAGAACCCCCGGCCCGGCGGGCGACCGCGGAGGGCCGCCGTCTCCCGAGCGCTCGGCTCCCCAGCTGCCTCACTCTCCCGCTCCGTTAGCGCTACCGGTCGGCGGGCGGGGGAGGGGAGGAGGCGCGTTATTCCCGGGGCGCCGCGGGGGAGGGGACGGCATCTCTTACCCGCGTTACTGAGAAGGAGCAGGAGGAGGTGGCGGGAGCGCGGCGCGGCGGGGCGACGGCGGGGCCAGCTGGTTGCAAGGAAGAGTCTCACGGAAGGGAATTAACCCCATCACCAGCCCGGACACCGGCTCCAGCGGCAGCCGCGGCGGCAGGATCCCGCCCCTTCCCACCACGCTCTGGCCCCGCCTCTCCGTCGCGTTGACGGCAAGCCGGCTTCCTCATACGCTAGATAAATGCTGAGTGGCGTAATGCTTGTCCAATAACAGCTTGAGAAACCACTTTCGCTCCACCCCATTATCACTGCGGGGCCGCTGGAGATCGGGGCCAAGTCTAGCTCCACCTCCAAAAGAGAAAGAGCCAATCCCTGACGAATGACAGCCCTTGAAGGACGCAAAAGATAACCAATGATGAAGCAAGGAGGACAGCCATTTTGCCCACTTGTGAAAGAGCCACCTTTTCCCACGAGTAAGAGCGTGAAGTGGGCGAGTTCCGGGAGATTTTAGTCACTGGAGATATGGAAGACAATTATATTTCTTCAGGGAATGTTTGTAGAGCTTTCAAACACGAAGGGAGAATTTTGTCCTTCATGTGGGGAGATGTGAGAAAGGCTTTAAGGATTTGGCTCCGCCCCTTAGCGGTAACGGGTTCTAAGCTGAACACCTGGTTTCTCCAGTCTTAGTGGTGGAGGGCAGGTCTTTGGTTTATAGAACTACAATTCCCATGAGTTGCCACAGGAAGCAAACGGAGGAAACTGGTATAGGGTTCGTAATGCATCTTGGGAATTGTAGTTCTCGAGAGGTTACTGTGTTTCCTTGTCCACATGAGTAAGAAGAAAGTTTTGAATAATCTGGAATTGAGAATGAGGTCCTAAGGTTTTAGTCAAGTCTTTTCGCCACAGTGAAGGAGGACTTAAAAAAAGAAGGGTCAGGGGATTCCTCCGGACACCACAGGATTTCAGAGTGCTCCTATTTGTACTCTCCCACTTTCAGGCCGTCCCTTTAGCGTCACTTCCTCTTAGCTGAAGACACTTGCAAAAAGCTTGGCGGGACTTGGAGATTCCCAAGCTAGTACACCAGTTTTGGCGGTCTGGAAGTGCTGTGTAGGGCAAGAGATGGAAAGCTGAATGTACTTTAATTGCGCTTTAAGAAAAGAGTAGGTAAGAGTCGGGCGTGGAGGCTTATGTCTGTAACAGCAGGAAGACGAAAGGTCGCGCAGCAAGTTCACAGCCTGGGCTGCACAGTGAGTTTTAGAACACTTGTAACTACAGAATTGACCTTGTCTAAAATACCACCCCACCCCACTCCCACCCCCAAAAAAGAAAAAAAAATGAGAAATGAAATGGCATGGGTGTAAATCCCTAGCCCCTAAATAATTTTCTACCCTACTTTTTAGTCCAGCGGACCCAGTATTTATTATCAGATCCCCCTCCACACACACACACACACACACACACACACACACACACACACACTCACTAGTAGACTGCATCTCCTTGAGTTTGTAGAGGATTCTTTAAACTTGCCACTCACTGTACGTGTCCTCAGTTGGGCTGGAAGGACTTGGAAGTTCGGGGAGCTAAAAACTCCCATTTATACAGACACTCTCCCGAAGTTGCCTTTGAAGGAAGAAGAAAATTCAGGATTGTTAGCATAGTGGAATGGTCCTGTTGCCATTTACTCTTTGAGTAATACAATCATATTAACTGGCGATCTGGTGATACTGTAATACTCCAATGACAAAAAGACTTCAGAATTCAGTCTAGTAAACTTACCGAACGAGAAATGCCAGACTGATCACCTCAAGACTGATGCCTGGCAAAATCTCTTCCATAATTTTTACAGAGACTTCGTCTTATAACTTTTTTTGTAAGTTATTTAGTGAGTATACCAGGCTAAAAGGGTTGAACAGTGCACAGAAAGGTAAGTTTTTTTGTTTAAAAGGAGTAAAGAAGAAAAAGATTAAATAAAACCCATATATATTACTGGGTCTTTTAATAGCTCCCTAAATTTAGTATCTTCATAGTCATGTTTTGTATGTTTATTTGGTTTTCTCTTTGCTTTCTACCTTTAGATTTAAAAACCACCTTTTTCTATATTTTATTTATTTATTTATTTTTGGGTTTTCGAGACAGGGTTTCTCTGTGTAACAGAGCCCTGGCTGTCCTGGACTTGTTTTGTAGACCAGGCTGGCCTAGAACTCACAGAGATCCTCCTGACTCTGGCTTCCAGCTCTGGGATTAAAGGCGTGCACCACCACACCACGCTATTTCTGTTATTTTTATTGAAGTTTATTTTATTAAGTCTGTGTCCAGAACTAATAGGTGTTTATTCTCCATGTGAATGAAAGACCTAACTAGTGCAATCCTAGGTACAGAAATGTGTCTGTCACTTCCAGACAGACAAAGCAGTCTGATTTTTTGTTTGTTTTGGTTTTAAAGAAAAAAGATTGTCTTTGCTTTTCAGTGTAATACTTGCACGTGTGTGTATTTGTGTGTGTATGCATTACCTCCTGCACTGTATGCATATTAAGCAGAAGGCACCTTTGAGTGGCATCATCTCTATCCTGCAGTTAGAATTTCCAGTGATAATTTAGCATTATGATTTATAAATGCTTAGGTTTTTTTTTTTTTTTCATAAACTCTTCCAGGGTAAATCAAGTCAATATGTAGTGATAATGACAATCATATTGCTGATTATCTTATCTGAGCCAAAAATGGGCTAAGTGTGTTGAGTGTATTTCCTGTCCCACATCTGTTTTAGTTTTGGAATGCTGGAGAAAAACTGAGTGCCTTGCATTTGCTGGACATATGCTCTATCACTGTGTTACCTTCTCAGCCTTAGTATTGCTCCATATTTGAAGAAATTGTAGCCTAGCAAGTGTAGTCAAACTTTAAAGTCTGATCTCTTTAGTCAAGACAGTTTGGAGTTGAGATACATATCTGGGTCTGTTTGATTTTTTTTTTCTTTCAACCCTAAACCATTGCATCTCAAATCTTTATAAATCTCATAGAATTCTGCCTTCCTCTGCCACTAGAATGCAGGATTAAAGGCAATCATCACTAAGCGCAGCCAAAAGGCATTACTTTTTGTTTATTTTTTTTTTTTCAATAATTTATGTGCATATGAAGGTGTCAGATCCCTTGGAATTGAGGTTACACACAGTTGTGAGCTGCCATGTGGGTGCTGGGAATTGAACCCAGGTCCTTTGGAAGAGCAGACAGTGCTCTTAACCACTGAGCCATCTCTCCAACCTCTTGTTTGTTTTTTTTTTTTTGAAAGCTGTATTTATTTTGTATTTGTGAGTGCAAGCATGTATGTGCACCATGTACATGCGTGTAAAAAGGCATCTGGTCTTCTGAAACGGAAGCTCCACATAGTTGTGAGCCGCCATGTAGGTGTCTAACCTGGGCTCTCTGCACCAGCGGCCACTGCTCCAGCAGCTTTGCAGAAAGTCCTGTTTTAGCGGTGTGCTGCTGCTTTATTTAAAGTTCGGTGGGTTGACCAGGACAGTATCACTGTCATTTTTTTATGGCTACCTGTATTCCATGATGGAGCTCAAGTATAACCTGCTCCATGCTAATGTGTAGTAATTGTTTTTGTTACCATAGGGAAAGCATATAACAAAATCTACCATCTTAAGCATTCTTAACTGTGGATATTACAATGTATTAACCACTTGTTACAATACGCCTGTAAAATGTTTCTGTCTTATACAACTAAAATTCTGTTTTCACTCTTCACTGACCCCTTGCAAATCCATTGTGCTTTCTGTTTTTAAGAGGTCATTTTATATGTCATATGCAGTAAGAGGGTCCTGCAGCATTTGACTTTTTTTTTTTTTTTTTTTTTTTTTTTTGGCTAGGTTATTTAACCTAATATCTTCAGAGTTCATTCACAAAGGATGTGGTAGGAATTCCTTTCCAGGGAGGACTACTTACATACCACATTTTATAAATGAATTTATCTGTTTGTAGACAGTCTGCTTTCCCCTCTTGGTTTTTGTGGCGAGTGCTGCAGCAAATATGGGAATGCACATTTTTTGGCTCTGTGTGTGTCTAGCCACTGTGGACTGTGTGTGGAGGCTAGAGCTTAATCTGTGCTAGCCAGTTCTCTCCTTCTGTGGTGTGGGGCTAGAGAGCAAGCTCAGGGTCCTTGGCAGCCGGAACTCTTACTCGCTGAGTCATCTGCCCACTTAACTTCTTAAAAGTAGGTTTAGCCACAGAGCCTCCGGAACTCCTAACTTGTTCTCCGGGGAGGTATCCCTGCTCTTTGGTAGAGCACTTTGGGAGAACCGGTCTCCCGCTTGTGTGTGACTTGCTTATGTGTGGTTTGCAGCTGCACTCTCTGTGTGAGTGCATGTGGAGACCAGAGTTTTCCGGCGATGTCCGCCATCTCTTTTCCACCAGACTTTCTGAGGCAGTGTCTCTCCTCGAACCTAAACTTTCGAAACCATATCAGTTAGCCTGGCTGCCTTGGGAGCTGCCAGGACCCTGTTGTCTTTGACCCCTCCCCCTCCCACTGCAGTTCTTAGGTTACTATGTGATTTTATATGGGTCCCATGAGGTCTGAACTCAAGTCCTCAGTCTTACACAGCAAACATGTTACCCACTGAACCGTGTCCCCTGCCCCTCCATTGCCCATCTCTTTTTCTCTTTCCAGTCTGATGACTCATTAATGTAATTTGTATCTATTTGTATCCCACTGGTGCTGAACAGGTTTTATATGTCTATTGTCCACTGATGTCTAGTTTCTTTTGAGTAGCCTGTTGCTGTTCCAGCATCATAATAATTTTAAAGAAATATTTTAGGCTGGGCATGGTTGTACACACCTATAATCCCAGGACTCAGGAGGCAGAGGCCGGGCGATCTCTTGAGTTCAAGGCCAGCCTGGTCTACAGAGTTCGTTCCAGGATACCTAAGGCTATACAGAGAAACTCTATCTCAAAAAACCAGAAAAAAAAAAAAAAAAGAAGAAATACATCAGGTTTTTTTCAGATTGTTAAATATTTAGGAATATTTACTCCCAATTAAAAATAGCTTTTTTAACTTTTAGATGCTGTTTCCATGAAATGAGTTTGAACTCCTTTAATGTTTAGAGCTAACAGTCATTTCTTTTGTAGTGTTTATCTGGGATGCTGAAAGTAGTTTACCTACCCTATCATACAAAAAAGTATCATGTTTTTATATTTTATACTTGTCTATATTATTCTGTGGTATAAAAAAGAAAATTGGTATTATTTTGTAAGGTGCTAGGAATTTTAACCCAAGGATTCCTGCTTTCTATCACTGAACCAGCATTTGGTCTTATTTTTGTTTTTAGATAAGCCTCAATTAGCTCAGGATAGCCTTGAACTCTCAATGTAGCTAAAGCTGACTTTAAGCTCTGTCTTCCAGCCTCTACCTCTGGAGTTCTGGGATTACAGGCACTCCTTAAATATTGTCAACTGAGTGATTTGAAAGCAGTTTGTAGAGTGGAAAAGTTCAGACTTTTTATTACTCCAGTCTGAGTCTTAGACTCAATGCCATCACCAGTCAGTGGAAATTATTTACTAGCTCAGAATCTCAATTTTAACATGCAGATCAAATAAAAACTAAAAAAATAAAAAGGAGCATGTCTGTACCTAGGTGTGGTAGAGGAGAAAGTGTATTATAGATAAAAGGGCAGAGGTAAGGGCATCTTGGAGAGTCTGGAATATGTGTGGCCAGTCTGAGCTAGGTCAGTGTGGAGAGAGGAGAGAGAGGGGAACCAGGTACAGTAGCCAAGAGGGCAAAGGGACAAAAGGGCAGGTAGCCAAAATGTCTGGATTATACAGGGAAGAGCCTGTGGGGGAAGGGCAGCTCAGCCCAGGGCTAGAGAGTTCAGGGTAGAGGTGGGGTGTGCCAGTCCTACTCTATAACAAGTAGGGACTGAGGGATGCTGGGACAACCTGGAGGCCAGGTCCGCTTTGACATGTTACGTGGGCACCTCCTTTGTCCAGGGTTTGAAACTTAACACAGATAACAGTGTTTCCTGCGCCAGTGACATGGCATAATGGATAAAGGCACGTGCCAAGGCTGAGGACCTGGGATTAGGCCCCAGAATTTACATGGTGGAAAGACAGTTGGCTCCCAAGTTGTCTGATCTCTACACAGATGCTGCAGTGCTCTGAAGGACATAGACAACACAGCATGAATAAATGTAAACCATATGCTTTGTTGGTTGCTTTGAGAATTACAGAAGACTTTATAAAGTTTCTTAGCATAGTGTCTCCGTGGAAGGGATTATCCATAAGTGGGGATTGGTGTGGCATTGGTGGCGTGTAGCTGCTGCTGAGTTTCAAACCTGGAACAAAAGGCTGAGCTGCCTGCTTAATAAATCAAGCAGACCTGGCTGGGCTCTCCCAGCACCCTCAGTCTCTACCTATTACAGTGTGCTGCCAGCATATTCTGCCCTTACCTGGAACTCTCCAGCCCAGCCAGCTGTGCTATGCCTCCCTGTATAATCCAGACATTTTGGTTCTGCTGCTCCTAGTTTCCCTCTCTCCCCCTCTGCCTACATGGCTCGGGTCATGACCGCGCCCATATGTGCCTGCCTCTAGCTGTGCTCTCCCACGTCTATGATAAACTTTCTCCTCCACCATACCTAGGAGCAATCATGATCTTTTTTAAATTTTTATTCCTTTTTTTTTTTTCATTGAGCTGCCTTCCAATAAATGGGAATTGTTTTATCATTATTCTGAAAACAGTTTCCTATGGAATGAAAGGTGTCTTTGCTTTTAAAGTAATTGATATTTGATATGGCAGCTTAGGAAGCCTTGTGATAAGTGAGTCAGAAAACATTATGTAATTCTTTGTTTATTGTAATTGATATACTATGTTATAATATTAAAGTTCGCCAATAAAACATTCCAGTTTATTAAGTTTAGGTTTTAGTTTACTAGTGCCCCGTAAATATAGTTATATCAGGTCTGGAGAGTAATTTAGCTGTTGAGCACTAGCTGTAATCTTGTGCAAAAAATTTATGCAAAATGCACAAATTTCTGTGTTATAATTTGGGTTTATCATATACTTTCTGGGTATTTGAGTAACTTCTACCTGTAAGGAGGAGTATCGCAGTCCTAATTAGCCCCTAATTCCTGCCCTGTCTGCCCCACCCCTTTGTTTGTTCCTTGTTTTCAGGCTCACCATGCCTGCAGCTGGTACCAAAAAGAAGGCTACTACACCTCAGACTTCTTTAACCAGCGAATCATACACACAGCTGGATTTTTTACCTGACAAGCTCAGAACAAAGCTGCTTCCATTCCAAAAAGATGGCATTGTTTTTGCCCTCAGAAGAGATGGCAGGTATAGTACTTTGATAAGGCATGCTAAAAATTACTTTTAAAATGTGTTAAAAAGCCAAGCTCTGTTTAATTTATTCCTTTCCTGTATCAAATTTTTCTTTAGTCAAATTGATTGTAATGCAATAGGCTTTATTCATAATCTGTAACTGACTTATATTTCACATTTTATTTATTTATGCCCTTGCTGTACACATGTGTCAAAATGTATTTGTTGAGGTCAGTTTGCCAGAATAAGTTCTTTCCTTCTGCCATGTGAGTTCTGGGGATCAAACTCAGGTCTTCTGGTATCTTTTTCTGTTTTGTTTTGTCTGAGATGGTCTTCCTACATACCCCTTGCTGTCTTGGAACTCACTGTGCAGACCAAGCTTACTTCTAACTCAGAATTCCACTGGCATAGAGCAAGTTTCAGGTAAAGAAAAGCTTAGGTCCAGGCGTGGTGGTACATGCTTTTAATCCCAAACAATGAAGGTAAAGTTAGTAGGTTTGTAGAAGGAAACACCCACGTTTGAAAGTGATATCTATGGGGCTGGAGTGATTAAGAGCCTGTAGTTTCTTCTAAAATACTTATTCTTTCATTTTTCATATCAATTAGATTTGTAGTTTGCTTGGAATAACTTTATTGCTGGTACAAAGTAAAGATCACAATTACTTTTTAATTGACTTTAACATGATCATGTCCAGTGGCTCTTTCCTAATTTAATGAAGAGGCTGACTTAACCCGCTGGTGAATACTGACCTCACTGTCTTAAATCAGGTTCCTCTTCTAGGTGAGTGTTGTCTAATGGAGTGTTCTGCCAGGGTGGAAACATTCTGTATGTAGATAATTCCAATCAGTGCCCACTTTAGCAACCCATGACTTTTGAGTTCTAAAAATATAGCTAATGCAAGTAAAGTGTGCGCCTTAAATGTTGTCTAGCTTGAATTAATTTAAATTTAAATCTGAAGAGTCATATATATCATCTGGGCTGTGATGTGTTATAATGCAGTTGTGCATTTATTCTATTTATCTGTTAGGCATCTTTTTATTCATTTTTAAAACTGGATGTTTGGGGGGCACGCACGCACGTGCCTTTACATATCTGAAGGTCAGAGGAAGGCGTTGGCTACCCTTTATCACTCTGTTTTGTAGTCCTTTGAGACACTGTCTCTCCTTGAACCTGGTGCTAAACTGGGGTCTTGTGAGCTGCAGCAGTCCTGTCTCTGCCCTTAGCAGCTCTGAATTTGCAAGCACACAGTCGTTCTTAGCTTTTGATGTAGGGTCTCGGCATCTGAACTCAGGACTCGTGCTTGTACACCCACGAGGCCATCTCTTTAACCCGTCAATTTTAATTATTTGTTTTATCTTTATTTATGTTTATGACTGCAAGTCTCTGTGTGCGTGTATAACATGTGTGTGCAGGTAGGTGCCCAAGAAGGCCAGAAGAGAGTGTCAGATTTCCCGGAGATGGAGTTAAAAGCAATTGTTAGCTCCCACCAAACTTGGGTGGAAGGAACCAAATTCAGTTCCTCTGTGAGAGCAGGAAGTACTTCTAACTGCTGAGCTATCGCTTCAGACTTCATTTTTAATCTTAATACTCACTTTCTTTTAATTATTATTTGGGGAGCCAGGTGTGGTGGCGCACACATTGAATCCCAGCACTCAGGGAGGCAGAGGCAGGTGGATTGCTGTGAGTTCGAGGCCAGCCTGGTCTACAAAGCGAATCCAGGGCAGCCAAGGCTACACAGAGAAACCCTGTCTAGAAAAAACAAACAAAGAAATTAACGGAGTAGGTACATGTAGGACAACTTTGTCGGGTTGGTTCTTTCTTTCCGCCTTTATACATAGGCTTCAGGGATTGAACTCAGGACACCAGGTTTGCATGGTTGAACTATCTTGCCTGACCTATTCTCCAATTTGGTACCCTTCCTCTTCCCAAACAGTCCCCTTTCTACTTTTTATATATTCTACATGTGAAAGAAACAGTGTTGATCTCTGACTTTTTTAGTTTTCCTTACTGTGCTTAACATGGTAACTCTCTGTGACCCGTTTTTGGTCTTTGTGGTTTAATGAAATTGTATTATGCTTATGGACCACACTTCCTTTAACGTTTCATTTGTTGCTGTGTATTTGGGCTGATTTTGTGACATGTCTGTCGTGTCCTGTCTTCTGTCTTTGACTCTTTCAGTTTATACCCAGATGTGGCAGATGTGGGGATTCTATGGATAATACGGGGTGTGTATTTCTTCATTCTGTAGAGTTTTGTTGAACTGTTTCACTCACACTGGCCTGGAAGTTGCTATGGAGCCAAGGCTGAAATCCTACTGATGATCCTCCTGCCCTGCCTCCGGTGTGCTAGGATTAAATGAGCACCGGGATGCCTGACTAGATTTTCAGTTCTTTGAGGAGCCTCCACAGTCATTTCCATAGTGTATGCACTGATTATATTCCTACTAACATACCCTTCACATCCTTGGTAGCCTGTGAGTACTTGATGATAGTCTGTCTATCTAGTGCTTTTCTCTTGTGTCTGGCTTTGGAGTAATTTGCTCTTTGTGGTTCCAACTCTCATTCACAGACCCACAAAAGAAACTTTTCTCACAAGCCTATAATTTTTGTACTCTGCAATGAGTAGGTCTTTTATATCAATTACCTTTGTTATTCCTAGGAAATTAGGATATTTGTTTGTTATAAATTATCTTTGTCTTGTAATTTTTTCTACTTTCTCACTATTCAGAAGTTTTATGTGGCATGGTTTTCTTTTTTACTTGACATATGGGTGATACTATGCATTCCCATTGAAAACTTTACAGTTGTTACCTGTACGAGTGTCTTTTTAAAGAATCACATTCATTTATTTATTTGGTTTGTGTGTATGTGCACATGAACATGCTGCATTGAACTATCCAGGTCAGAGGACAACTTTCGGGACTTTTGTTCTGTCCTTCTACCATGTGGCATCTCTGGGATCAAACCAAAGTTGTCAGGCTTGACAGCAAGTGGCTTTACTCACTGAGCCATCTGGCCAGTTCCAGTGTTAGCTTTCTTCCGGTCTTCACCTCCTTGGACCCTGTTTATATCTGTGTGAGACCTGTCCTTGGTATCCGTATATCTCCCACCTTCCTTTCCTTTTTCTTTTTTGCTTTTTATGTATAAAAACGTGTGTAGACTTGCTCTATATTTACCCACTTGAGTGCATTTTACATGCACGTGTGCTTACATTCACTTTGGTTTACTACCTTTTGCTACCAGTTGTCCTCAGAAAAAAATTATTGATGTTGTGAGACCGAAGTCACTTGTTTTTTGTTACTCATATGGGAGAGTTGTATTATTAAATATTCTTTACACGGAGCAGTTGCCCTCACCCCAGGCTCAGGGAGTAGCTGACTAACGTCAAAGAACAGTCAGTCCTTTCCTTTCCTGCAATTAGAGAATAGAAGCACTGTGAACTTTGCTCTTAGCTTCAGCAGTATATTTTTAAATCCTGGCATATCCAGTTTAAGTTTGTTGTATATTGTTTCTGGTCATGTTTGTTGTGTGTTTATTTCTGTATTTATTTATATACTTGAGGGCTGTTTTATTTTTTGTTGCTCTATATTCTAATATTCTAGTTTCTTTTCTGTTGCTGTGATAAAAATATTTGACTTACAGGAGGAAAAGGTTTATTTGAATTACACTTCCAGATCACACACCTCATTGAGAGAAGTCAGCATCCAAACTCAAGCAGAAATCATGAGAGAATTATGCTTGCCAGCTGGCTCAGCAGCTCATGCTTTTTAATATGGCCTAGGCCCACCTGCTCAGGTGATGGTGCCACTCACAGTCACCTGGGCTCTCCTGCCTCTTTAACAGAGTCATGGCACACACACACCCTGCCACAGGCCGGGTTCATCAGTTAGTCCCTCAATTACAACCCCCTTCTTAGGTGGCTTAAGATGTATCAACCTGACCATGAAAGCTGACTAGGATATCTTGTGTATTTTCTAGTGTCATGAATTTTCTCAGTAATCAAGAATCTTAATGTGTAGAAACCTCAGTGACTGGTAAGTTCTCATAATGAAGATTAGCTAAACTGAGTTCTTTCTTAGGTCAGCCATGTGACATAAATATTAAACTCATTTGCAGGAAAACTTAGTATAGTCATAATTTCCAAAGCCTTACCAAGAAAAAAAAAATGTAGTAATACTGTATGAGAGGTTTAGCACAGACAGTATTTGTGGTTAACACACATACACACACACATATATCGCCTTTCAGAAAAGGAATATATAATATACTCTGGAGAAAACCAAGTCCATCCTGCCCTCCTGCCCCAAGTCGCACTTTTCTGGAACCATATTACTTGTTCTTAATAGCTTTGGAAACAATTCTCCAGTAACTATATAATTGTAAGTTATTGTCTATTTTCTTGATTTCTCTGTGACAAAGAATGACTAATTTTACCTAGATATGGAAAAAAAGTTATAATTGTAGAGGAATTTGAGGAATTTTAATCCAGGAACAAGGCTGGTCTGGCAAGGGATCACATTCAAAGACCTTCAAGGTCTATGGGATCTGGCTGGAATGACTCAACTCTCACCAGAAGAACATGAAAAAGATTTAGGAGAGCAACACGGTGGGGGGGTGGGGGGGAGTTTTCCAGAACAGTGTTACAGAGACAGATTGCAGAGAGAGAACAAGCTAGACACAGATGAAGACAGAATGAGCGAGAGCATGAGAAGGAACCAGAAGATTACAACAGATAGCTAGAGTTAGTTTGATGCCCAACAGAGCAATTCAGACAGAGGTTGAGAGAAGCCAGTTTGAATTAGAGAGGAGTTTGAGCCAGAACAGCTGGGTTGAACCAGCTAGCCAGAGATCAAAAAGAGCTAAAAAAGGTGAGCTTATTTAGCAGTAAGCCTCAGAGGCTAAAAAGGTTGTAGATCTTGATTAGATTGCATTGAGGCTAGAAGCTTCCAGGACTAGGCCTAGGTTAGCAGACAGAGGTAGTAAGCCTGCAAGACAACAATCACATTTGTCAAATG